CCCCCCCCGCCCGAACATCGGTCTCGGCAGCAGCGAAGCTTTCGTCACGAATGGTATACGCAGCCAACGATAGCATGACGGGTGTGGGAAAGAGAGGATGTATGAGTACGCCACCCACCTGTTGCATACGCTGTGATACCCAACGTCTCTCTCTCTGACAGCAGGTATCCCACAAGGAACGGCGGCAGAGACTGGTCGAATGGATGTAGGAGGCGCGATGGATCCCGCATCGTCAGCTGCTGCTACCACTGCCATGGCTACCACTGTTGCTGCGTCACAGGGCGCCTCCGCTCATCGGGCCGCGGATATTGAGGCTGCAGCAGCTCTGGGTGCTGAGGCGATGGACGTCGATGTCCACATCGGCAACGAGGTTACAAGGCCTTGAATATGTTCATGATGATACAATGGTGGGGCCGTTTTTTTGCGGCGCCTGGTAGTGTCGGCAGGGAATCTGGTCACTTTCAGGGTTTGTGTCGCCGAAAAAGGGGATCGCTTAAACGTGCCCGCCACTCTTTTGTGTTTTTTCTACCGTTCTTTGCGGCGGCGGCGCGAGAAAATGTGGCACGAAATAGATGTCCATACAGCCATGTTGTAGATGAAAATTTATCGATGCTATGTAAGCTCGAAGTATAGAGGTAGCGGATGTGACGAAAGGAGGAAGGTTTTGCAGCCATTTTTAAGTTTCACGTGTCTTATGTATGGTCAGTTTGGTGACCGACGACGAAGATAACGACGACTGACTACGGTACGACGGCGGCGATGTTATGTACATATTATAGTTGACATCCTGGAGGGACGGAGAATTTCGCCTCAGGTACCTTGTGTCGAGCACTTTCATGACGCGTTCTTTGGATCTGGGAGGTTTTTTGCATTTGCAGGAAATAGACAAGTGGCATCACAAGGTGTTCAACCTAGACGGCGGATTGCCCACGTTGCAACGTCAGCAACAAAGAGACCACGATGGTCCTGTTTTTTTGCTTTCTTTTGCCTGAAGATGAAGAACATGTTCAAAGAAAGAGGGCCGTCAACTCGACCACGCCCTTTAATGTTGTTGAACCGAATACTTCGGCACTTAATCGTGCGAGTGCCGTGCTTGTACAAGTTGAACATCCGACCACGGGTCCATAGGATCGGAGTCCGTCTGCAGAGAAAAGTCTATTCCATTGAAGCTAGACGGCAATGCTCCCCGTCATATTTGCACTCGGTGCCAGCTCCCTCCACTTGCTGCATGTTGTGCTCCTCTCCTCTTATCTCGTAGCAGTCAATCAATATCGATCAAACCATCCTTTCTCTGCTCCATCCATCAGCACTACACATAGACTACACAGCAGTAGTAGGATCCTGGAGAGAAGAAACACCGATATTTTACTACCTGCTGTGCTACCCACCAAGACCCCGGCAATAAAAATTGGTTCACAATCTGTCCGAGTATTCCGGCCCACGGTGCTTTCTCTGCCGCAAGAGAGGGAGGGAGGGATGACTGAGTTTGTTGTTGTTTTTGTTTTTCTCCCATCATTGGACTCTGTCGTCTGCCCCTCTGGCCCCTATCCTCCACTTCTACTAGCTAGACGACCCAACCGGGGTCACGTAGGAGGGGGGGTTGGACCCCCTCCTGCGGTTCATGCCCGAGGTATTTTTATCGCGAGAAGGGTACAGCAATCCCTTCCCTCGCGACTTACGAAGTCGATTATGGTTTACTAACAAACGAGCTTTGCAGCGCGTCGCTTTCATCCTAGGCCAGGATTTATCTAGTGAGAAAAACTCTCTCTGTCGGGACTCGAACCCATGATCTGGTCCTTGGCAGGCTGCGAGGCTACCCACTAGACAACCGGGGCGAGTATGTTGTTTTTGTTGTTGCTGTTGTTGTTGTTGTTTCTCACATTACNTAACAAACGAGCTTTGCAGCGCGTCGCTTTCATCCTAGGCCAGGATTTATCTAGTGAGAAAAACTCTCTCTGTCGGGACTCGAACCCATGATCTGGTCCTTGGCAGGCTGCGAGGCTACCCACTAGACAACCGGGGCGAGTATGTTGTTTTTGTTGTTGCTGTTGTTGTTGTTGTTTCTCACATTACCTCTATTGTCCACAAAAAATGGGGAGCCCGTGGTCTCAAAACCCGGCACATCCGACGCCGCGGGGAAACAAAACAAAAAGAGGGGATAAACCGCTCGAAAAAAAATAAAAATAATAGAATAGCACAGGTATCGCACCGACCTTCGAAAAGAGCCCTCGGAAACCGATAAAAATAAAACAAAAACAAAAATACAGGAAGGGATGCCGCCAAGACACCACAAACGAAAGCTCGACTGCGGCAGTATTTACTGGTTGTTGGAGCCGTCTAGCCACGTTTCACTTTATGATGGGATCCTCTTTATTTGTAGAGTATCCGTCCGGGACAACTTGTCTATTCGCGTTTTGGGCAATACCTATTTTTTTATAATGAGAGATGGGACGTGAAAAAACGATATTCGTGATCGCCTCGTCGAGCTACGTCGATAGCTGCGTTTGTTTTCGTTTTTTGAGAAAATGCGACATTTTGACCATAATGATCCACGGAACCCCCAAATATATAGGATACCCCCATTCATTCCGCGGAACCCCCTGATTCTACGGCGAACCCCCCGAATTATACCACGGAACCCCCTATACTACCACGGAAAAACTTATGATTAAAAAGAATCGGATGCTAACAGGCGAGCCCCTATAGCGATAATAGTATGGGAGACAATGGTATATGACATTTATGTCATATGTCATTGATGGGAGAGGAGCGCAGAGCTGAGCGATGCTGCCCGGGGTTTCACAATGTATGCTGGCGTGCACAGGGCTCCCCGGGGCGCGTTTCTAGCTACCCTTTGCAACCCACTTTCATTACGCCCCCGCGACGACCGCCTGAGTGTTAAGCTGGCCTCTTCGCCAGGCGCGCCAACACCATCACAAGGGAGGTCATGTGCCAGGGTAGAGCGAGTTCCATTCTCGGTGAGCCTTTTTGTCGTGACTTCGCGAGGGCAGCAACCCGGGGATGGTTCCGAGCCGATTTCCGACTACCCTCCACGTCGCAGGCGGGTCTGCGTCGCTGAAGAGGAGGAGTTTCCTGCCGTCGCGTGTGTCGATAGTACATGTCTGAGGCTCTCTTGGGTAGAAATCCGTTTGGAAGATGGACTTGTGTCCGCAGACTTCACGCCAAAAATGCGGACCAAAAACCTCACCGTGGTAGGAGCACCCTTCGAGGAAGGGTTACACCAGCAGGTGTAAAAACTAGAGACTGCCCAGGCTCGGATCACACACCCCGACCACCAACGCGCGCCACGCCAGAGCACGTCAGTTGCGCAAAAAAAAACTTGTGGCTTCCACCATGCCGTCGGGATCATCTTAATGCTATGGGTATCTGAGACTTATCTAGTTTTAGCACAGNTCTCTTGGGTAGAAATCCGTTTGGAAGATGGACTTGTGTCCGCAGACTTCACGCCAAAAATGCGGACCAAAAACCTCACCGTGGTAGGAGCACCCTTCGAGGAAGGGTTACACCAGCAGGTGTAAAAACTAGAGACTGCCCAGGCTCGGATCACACACCCCGACCACCAACGCGCGCCACGCCAGAGCACGTCAGTTGCGCAAAAAAAAACTTGTGGCTTCCACCATGCCGTCGGGATCATCTTAATGCTATGGGTATCTGAGACTTATCTAGTTTTAGCACAGAACCGACCTGTCCACTTTCGCCGCCGCTGCTACAACAAGTAGTAGCAGTAGCGTCTGTTGTGTTTTGTATCGTTGGGACTGGTTCACAACACGTGCCTTGGTGGGCATAGTACCTGCCAGCCCACTTGTAGAAGTGGTTTCACACATAAGTCCTCTACAAAACATCCATGGGTACTCGTGGTTAGAAGGTACGGCACCCTCGACACCGCGAAGAAATAAAAAAACAAACGTATGTAGGCTGCCTACCGTATATGAGACAAGATAACACACCCCTTGGACGGATTTTCAAAGCTCGATTACTCCACGACGAAGAGAATGCATAAACGAAATGATACATGTTCGAAAAGCTATGAACAAGGCGGTTTTAACGCCGCCGTTTTCGGCGCTGTGACTGTTCCTGCAGTTTAGAAATCGAGCTTCGAAAATCGGTCAATGGGGTGTGTTATCTTGTGTCGTATACGGTACATACCACTCAGAGTGGGAGACAACGGAAGAAAAAGAAGGTAGGGTGGCCCAGCCCTGTCTGTTCCTGGTACGGTGGTTCCTATTTACGGTTTGGCGGCGGCTTCACGATTAGTGTGGAAATAGTTATTTAGGCTCTCGTAAGGTGCAGAAGCGCAGCAGACCCATGCCGTCTCCAACAAAAAATATATGGTCTTACATCAAACAGCGGCTTATTTTTTTTGTTTTGTCTCTCTTTCCCCTTGCCCCCCCCCAGAGGTACGCCGGGATGAAATTGATGCGAAACANGAAATAGTTATTTAGGCTCTCGTAAGGTGCAGAAGCGCAGCAGACCCATGCCGTCTCCAACAAAAAATATATGGTCTTACATCAAACAGCGGCTTATTTTTTTTGTTTTGTCTCTCTTTCCCCTTGCCCCCCCCCAGAGGTACGCCGGGATGAAATTGATGCGAAACATCATTTTCGGCGAGGGCAACGAAGGAGAAACCTCGTCACCAGTCAGGATTATTACGAGGCATTTTACGGTGAGAATTTATCGCGGAAAGTGTGGGTGGTGTCAATCGTGGTGTTGTTATCCACGACACAATGCTTGTTGCTCTCCGTATTCATTCTCTTGTAAGCCTTGTTCCCCACGTGTACCCATCTCTCAATACCCAGCACTGCACTGTGGCCATCGACGTATAGACTCGTCTACACGACAGCAGTAGTCTTCATGTCATCGCGCCGTTCGTAACGCTTTGTGCCCTCATGTCTGGCACACTGGGCAGGCGACCGGCGAGGAGAAAGAGGACAGCGATGATGCAGGAACACATCGCGAGATGCATACAGCGCGCAAGAGTAAGTTGAAGCCTCTTGGCTGTTAGAGTCACATTAGTCGCAGCAGTGAATACCGTTGTAGTCGTGTCATCCCTTGTTTGTTCTGCTGTGTGTTACTCCATTCGTTACGAACGATCGGTGTGTCGCCCTGTTCATATTCCGACGTCATTGCCGCGAAGAAAGGTGAACGCTCCAGACCGTCCAAACGAGAACAGATTGCGTCGGAGTCATATAATTTCCTTGTTGTGTTTTCGAATGCTGTTGGGTGCAAGGGCGCCGAGAGGACTCCGACGAGGAGGAGGATGACGGCGACGTGGAGGATTCGGACGAAGAGGCGGAGCGCGACAAGGATGCAGTCCGTGAGATGCATGAAGCCGCCAGAGGATTCGGTGATATTTCGGTGAGAACGGCTGTGCATATCGTTGCCTGCTCGCAATTTCAGACATGGTATCAGCCAAATGCTTCCAGTTGGCGTGAACTCGCATAGTCAGACCAGCATTTGTTGTTTTCTTGAGCCTATCATCACCATCGCATTGAGGGCGTAGTTGGAACAAACTTTTCACCCGAATCATTGTTGTGGGTTTGTCCGCGGCCGCCTCTGTGACGATGAGGCAGGATGTCGAAGGGTTTGTGTGTCATTTCCGCACCCGTGTGTGAAGAAGTCAAACTTCCACTCTCCATGTGTACGTTCCAGCGATGGTTCGAGCTTTGAGAGAGCGCGTCGTGTGTTTGGNACCAGCATTTGTTGTTTTCTTGAGCCTATCATCACCATCGCATTGAGGGCGTAGTTGGAACAAACTTTTCACCCGAATCATTGTTGTGGGTTTGTCCGCGGCCGCCTCTGTGACGATGAGGCAGGATGTCGAAGGGTTTGTGTGTCATTTCCGCACCCGTGTGTGAAGAAGTCAAACTTCCACTCTCCATGTGTACGTTCCAGCGATGGTTCGAGCTTTGAGAGAGCGCGTCGTGTGTTTGGTTCTGGGAAGGTGGTGTGTTGGAGCAACAACCACCCTTGGCGCTTAGGTTTAGAGTTAATATTTCCGATTTTTTTTTATTTCGCTTGTATTTCACGGCCATGTAGCTGAGGTACTCTCCCCGTGCCCGCGCTCCTCTCTTCGAACCGCCCCCCATCCCCTCTCGTTAATGCAGGAGTTGTACAAGGTGTACGTGAAAGAGCGTAAGAATTCCGTGGCCGTGGAGCTCTCGTACCCCAGTAAAAGATGTCAGATTTCAAGACCGCGCGGGCAAGTCCTGTACGACATCGCCGGATGGGCGGCCAGCAAGGCTTTGACGCATCAAGCAAGACACAATATTTCCCAGGATTGGGTGCTTGTCGTCCAACACAACACTCGCCGGTCCAGTCGGGAGGCGATATTTACTAATGTCATGCCGAGAGATATCGATCAGAAGAACGACCTGAAGAACGGTCCAGGACTTCCCTACCCGACGATGGATTGGGTAGAGTCTGGGTATGCCGTGGAGAGGGGCATTTTCTGAAAAACCCTATCTTCCTTGCTGCTTGCCTTGGGGACTTGCCAGCCGAGATTTTCAAAGTTGTAAGCGAGGCGGAGTCGTCAAGGAAATGTGGGGAAACTGCTGTCCACCTGGTGCTCCCGCCATCGACCCTAGTTTATCCCAGGAGATGTTTCTTTTCGAAGTCGGGAAGATCCTTGACGTGCGAATGGGTGACTACGCGAAGAGTGTAACGGAGAATACTTCCCTCAAGTTCACGAAGGCCGCGCTTGGTTTACGGCAACAGCTAAACGCACAGGTCAACACAAAGGGACGGGCGGGTGGAAGGGCCGGTAGTAGCGGAGCAGAGGGAGGTGTACAGGGGGACGAGGCCGCTGGAGGGGGTAAGGGGGACCTTGCTAAGCGCCGAAAGGGGGGGGGATGTCCAGGGCAGAGATTAGGGACAGATGCACTACAAAGCAACTTGTCGTGCTCACGAAAGCCGCAGAGATTCCGAAGGGCAATGTGAACTCAAGAATAGAGGATCTCCTCGATTATCTGGAGACGTTTGTGTGTGGTTCAGGCAGGAACCGGTTGGAGGGGCAGGCCCCAACGTGACGGGGGCTGGGCTAGCCGGAGGAGGTTGCGGGGGGCGTGGCTGTGAGAACGCGGGTGAGGGCAGCACCTTGACAGGAAGTGGGGAGGTGGCCTCTGCCGGTGGTGATTTGACGACGGAAGAAGTTCCTACGCAGGACGGGATGGACCACGACGATTTCCTTTCCCGGCCGATTGCAATGGATATCTCACTGTCGGTTTTGGAGGGGGCGGGTGTGTCTAGCGGGAGTGGTTCTTGATCAAGTTTCCAAGACAGAAGGTGAAGGCTTCGGTGGCGCCGGCTTTCGTTTTCTTATACTGTACATCAATTTTCAGGGATCATAACTGCCATCTGATTTGTGTGCGTGTCGAACTTGGCGTTCCCTCACGGTTTCCCTCTTCTCACCACAAGGCCCGCCGGTGCGTTACACACCTCAACCGCTCAGAACCATGCTCGCAATATTTGTCTTCTGTGCTTGCTAAGGGCAGCAGCTACATAGTAGTCGTCTTCACCGCATTAAGCCCAGAGCGTTGCTGTGGCAAGGCGGGGTTTAATTGCGTCCATTATTATTAACTGATCAACAAGGAAGCGTACAGTACAACGATCCCAAACGTCTTCAACACCGGTAAACCAATTCTGACGAAGAGAATTGATCTCAAGTTGCTAATACCTTTCTACCACCCAGGACATATCATCCAAAAGGCTCTGTTACTGAAGAATCCGAACGTCGATCCGATACGTGTGCACCCAAAATTGTGGACATGACTATCTACATAGAGAGGATATCGGGGGGGGACTGGCAACCGAGAAGCCCTAACCTGTGTGCATTGTACATCCGGTGCGCAGCAGGGAGGGAAACGTATCGAAACTTCAAAAAGACAAAAACAATTCTAGAGAAAACTTCGCAAAAAAAAAAAGATAATTCGACAACGGGTGTAATACACCTGCTGGTTTTGCGTAACCGGGAAGTCACTCCAACACGTGCTGCCCAGGTTGGGCGGGCGAGCCCCCTACCCCAACATAAAAAAGAAAAAAACGAAAAAAAATACGGCTGGGCTCGATAACGGGAGCGCCAGACTCGCTCCTCCCGCATACCGTCCTATCCGTTTCACACTCTGCACAACAGTGCGTGGGCAAGCCCCATGCTTCCGCAAAGAAACATGACATGGCCTGCTGGGCACGCTGGGATTGTAGTCTACGGTCTACCTAGTGCTGTTCCCGGTAGAAAAAACGAAACACCTGCAATCTTGTAGCCCTCTCTCGTCATCTCTATGCCCTGTCTACTTGACCTGGAGCAGCAAGTGCTACCTTTTCCGCTTCTAAATCTCTCGAGGAGCGAATGGGTTGAAGACTACGGGAGTCTGACCTGCAGAGGCTGGTGTCGACTCTTGGGATGCACTACCCTCTACCGTAGGGTCCGCACGGGTTTGACAACGCTTAGGTACCGCGGGAACATCACAGCTGAGGCAGGGTTCCTCGAGGGCGCCCGCATCGTAGCAGACCGCTCTTCGTCGGTCACGGGGAGGATGATCTGTCCCCGGACCCCGGACGCGATGAAGTCATTTCCTTTCCGCGAAGTCCGATTGTGATTCGCGCGGGAACCCCCTTGCAAACCACGATTCAGGTCCCCTCGTGCTGCCCGTTCTTTCGCTTGCGTAGCCGTCGGGTTTCTGTGCGACCCAAGGCCTTGGCGCGTGTGCCCGAACCGGTGTTCCACGGGATCCTGTGGGGGGGCAGAAGGCGAAGTGGCGAAAGCCAACGCTAAGGGCCGAGGATCGGGGGACGAGAATGAGCAGGACAGAGGGACGTATAGCGCGGCACCTCTTAAAAAACCCAGGCCTAGAGCTTCGTCGACAAGCTGCGCATGTTCATCAACAACATTTACACGCTGGAGACATGCTCCTACACCCCACCCCCGGACTCTGTGGTGTCACACTTACCCGTTGTCTCGAAGCGCCGCGACCGCTCTCAAATGAGCGATGGCTCCAGCTGGGCGTGGGATGTGCTTGTTTCCTCGGTGCCCCCGAATCCTTCCCCGGCGTTGAAGACATCGCTTTCAGCCTGTCAGAAGCCGTCGCGGTGGGAACGATGAAATACACGGGAACTTGGCACTCGGCTAGACGACAATGCATGCACATGTTCACGGGTTAGGTTATAAGGCCCTGGTAAAACACTACAACACTACAAATTGCCATAAGCACTTGTCGCTGAAGATGTAGATTCCCGGCGGGAGCGCGGCGTGCGGAGGGTGATCGGTTTATTCTCGCGGCGTACAGTAGTATGTAGTATGTCCGGTTTTTGGTGTCGCCGTGTGCAACGATATATGTACGTATTTAAGTGCCTCACTACTTCGGAATGACTGCATTCAGACTCAGCAATCGACGACAGCTTCACTCTCGGCAGTCACAGCAATAAAAAGCACTCGCGCGCGGAACATCGAGCACAAGCCCTACCGCAAGTAAGAGGGGTGTTATTCTAAGTAATTTCCATGTTGTGGGTTGCTGCCTCTTTCAGCAGAGGAACTGAGAGAATTATGGGTCGCATCTTGAAACCCTAGCTACTTGTTGCTAACACCGTAAACGACGTTTGAAAGTACAGCAGCGAATATGTTGGAGGAACTCAAGAGTATCGACGAGTTGTCACATGTCCGGAGTGTCGACATCGTGCAGATTCGGCAGTACCGGGGAGAGCCTAACCGTTCTAGCTGACAATACGGCTTTCGATTCGGCGAACGATCCTTACACTGACAACAGAATCAGTGGTCGGCAGGGCTCACGGGCTCATGGACCGTGATAACGCCTTGCGCCTGCGGACAGAGTCTGTCTAGATCTGAGCGCGTTCAAAATGTGTCTCCTTTGGATCTCATCTCTATCGCTCGAGTGATGCAAGAGCAGTAACACAACGCCCTCAAATGGACACAGGGACTCGTGGTCGCACAACACGATCAAACTTGAAGCCGAGTGACAAAAGCCCCAAAGTTTATTCTGTCCATGCGGAGGCACTTGGCGTGCTTTGGCGTGGCGCGCGCTGGTGGTCGGGGTGTGTGATCCGAGCCTGGGCAGTTTCTAGTTTTTACACCTGCTGGTGTAACCCTTCCTCGCAGGGTGCTCCTACCACGGTGAGATTTT